TTGTTGTAAATAAATGTTATATTTGTTTACATTGTTGTTTAATCTTTTCAGCTTGTCAGTTACATTATTTAAACTAAATTTATGACCATTTCAACAGAAAAATTGTTTCTAAATAGAAAAATCTATTTTGAATTGATTCGTAACACCAAAAATTGGAATCGAATCGCCAGACACAGAGAGTCACACCCCTAGTTAACATTGAACCAATTTTGCACAAATAGGTAGTGTAATGTAAAATTCACACTCTTAGAACATACTGAATGTCACTGTAAATTTCGTGTTGCTCTACGGAATGAAAACATCTGCTGCAGTAACTATTTTAAGTTATTAGTGTCTTAGAATTTCTTTTTTGCCCATCTTCTCTTTAATGTTGGCTAAAGGTAAAAATGCCTCACCAAATGCCTTGGGTAACACGGTGAGCTTCACTATCTCCACCATTACAGCCATCTTGTTTGTTTGTCAGAGATTAGCTTGCCCTGGGTTACATTTCCTCGTGGGCAGCACAATCTTATGGTTGGCATCATGTTAATTGTGTCGTAAGCCTCTGTGAAGCTCAGGATTACCTTTAGGGTGCATTCACGCCAGTCCTGTTTAGTCCGCTTTAATTGAACTCTAGTCCGTTTGCCTAGATAGTCTGGTTCGTTTGGGGAGGTGTGAATGCTGATCAGGTAACAGGGGTCAGATAGGGATCGTTCAACGTCAAACTTTATACTTCCTGTTGTCAGGGGGCGTGGCTTAAGTGATGCCATGATTTGACCATTCAGTCTTGCAGGGGACCGGATGTGGATCAATCATTGAAGGTTTGATGTCTCAGACAGTTTTCATGTAGGAGCTATTAGCGTTTTGTTTTTCATGGCAAGTTTTCAAACTTTGAGGTTTGGCCCCGCCCCTTCAGCATGCTCTGAAACGAATCATTTAGATAACTTTGCGTCCCTCATGGCTTTTGACCAAAATGGCCAAGTTTGACACCGATTGAGTGACATCCCTAGGAGGAGTTGTTCAAATGCTGAGGTTGTAAGCTGCCAAAAAGGTGTGAAAATTGGGCCGGCATTCCAAAATGGCCACCTTCCTGTTTATCATACAACGTTTTTGCCAAAGGGTTTTCTGTGCATCTTGGGGAATTGGACAAGCGTACCAAATTTCATGTTTCTACGACAAACTAAGGTTAATGCGGAGGGTGTTTTGAAAATTTCTAGGTGGCGCTCTGGATCAGTTTCTGTTGCAATTTTTGCCACGCCCTTAAAATAAGTAATTTTTCACCAGTCCTGATGCGTCCGCCAAATTTGGTGACTTTTGGGATATGTTAAGGCCCCCAAAACGCAAATTCATTCTGCGGAAAAAATTGCAGCTCGGGCCTGAACAGAGCGATTACAGCAGCGCTTCACTGCTCGGGCCTAATTAATTTCAAATCAGACAATAAGCTCCTAAACTTATGTAGTAATGTGTTTGCTTTAAAGCACAAAGCAGGTTGGGATGCGATTTATCTTCATTTCATACAAGCAGCATCTACATTATAAACCTGGACTGTTGAGAGTCACTATGTGGGATCTGGGATTAGTGTTTCCCCTAGATAAGCTCCCTTGGCGGGGTGCTCGTCATATTTATTTGTGGGGGACGGGGGACGGACTGCGTCAACCACTGTGTACAAAATGAAAGTAAAATTTGGAGAAGATACAAACTGACCAGCACACAAAACTTTTAAAGAAAAGTAAATTAACATTTCACCACATTCAACCCAGAATTATAAAAATGTTTTACTTCAAAAGTCAAACTGTACTCTGATGCAACGACACACAAATAAATAACCAAGTGCAAAGATCAACCATCACACGCTGGGCCTGACGAACTTCCAATATCTTACACTGTCAGTTATCATCCTGAATATGATTTGACTGCACTGATTTCCTACCAGTTTAAAAAAAAAAGGAAGCTGGAAAAACTGGAACACAAACGACTTTCCCCAGAAACATAAAAGTTAAATACATAGCAGAAACATACATACATAGCGAGTCAGAGAGAATTTGAGACATGGAGACAGTCAAAGACTGAACACTAGATGGTTTCACCCACTGTGTCACCCTGAAAACTGCCGCCAGGCCACAGGGCCGCACACGTACAAAGCAACTTTATAGGTGGTCCTGAGTGTGTGCAAAAACAGAAATATGAAACTATGATGAAGAAGCAAGGTTTTATTAAAAAATATGAAGCTATGGATCAACAAAACCTTGTAAACATGAACAAGATTAAACCTTTGCACAACAAGTCTGACACCAAGTGAAAAAGCAGCCAACGTAAAAAAAAAAAACTGAAATACCTTCAGAAAGTCTGGAGAATTACTGATCAAGACCACATGAAGAAAGAGAAGAAGAAAATATAAAGAAATGAGAGCTGGATCAGGAGTTTTTCCTCAGCACTAAATGTTCACAGACTGAGTAGAAGACAAGTTTAGACAGGAAGAAAACCCTCTGATGTGACATTGAACAATGAGGGGGTGTTTAATTCTTTCACCCTGTAAACTGAAAATTGTGTCAAGTTGAGGGGACTCATTGCATCAAGAAATCTGAACAGATGAAGTTAAATATCTTAAAGAATCACAGGTAGTCGTTTCCTAAAATAAATCAGAGCCTGCTCTGTAAGCTGAGAGGAGCTGAACCAATCCGATCCAGGCTTTCAGAGAACACCAGTGGGGATGGTGCTGCTGAGGAACATATGGGAGCGATTTTATTCTGCAGACTGGATGACTCTGTTTGAAGGTCTGTCAGTAAGCTCTGAAGTCACATAGAGCTGAAACAAAGGAAGCAATCTACTTTTCAACATGCACTCACACATGTAAGACCAGAAAAATTCAAAGATGGTAAACCGCTCTGAAAAAATACAACTGATGGACTATTACTGAAAACAAGCTGAGAAACAGAACAGCTTCTGATTCCAAGTTGACAAAAAAAAGTTGTCAGTTGATGCCAGATGTGAAATAGGCCGTCTGAAAAACAATAAAACTTAAGAAATAGGAGCTAGAAAAACAGACAGCCTCAAGCAAAGCCAAAACTAGTCTTTAAGGCTGTCCTGGTCCAGTTTCAAGTTTTGTTTTATATTTTGCATTCTTTAAGTGTATAAAATGCAACATTTTATTAATATTGTCCAAAAACAACCTTCTCCCCTGGTTGAAAATCAGGTTGCACGGTGCACTGTGTTATCCAAACGTTAACTCGGTTCAAGATGGCCACCATTAGTCAACACAAAACTGGTTATAACTCGCGTTTAAAAAACACTGAACTAAAATATGGTGTGGTGATAGCTGAGTCATCCTCAATAAATACTAATATATAATGTTTGTCAAAATTTGACCAAAATGGCTTTAGCATCACCGTGTGTCAACATAAGATGATTTAAAGTTTTCCCTGTAGCAACACAATACTGTTTAAGAAGGAGATTCATTTCAATATGTAAACAACTCCTCCACCATGTTGGCAGCACAACTCACCTGCTCCACTACAAATGCAGTGTTTCCTCTACCATTATATAAGCAGGGCGCCCCGCCCTGTCAACAGAACCGCGCACCCTGTCTACCGAACTGACAAACAAAGCTGACAAAACAGAGGGTGTCAGCAGAACAAGGAAGCAGCACGTTAGAACCAAAAATCTTTATCGCTGGACAGTCTATTGTTCCTCTCTGAAGACACCTTTGAAAAAGACAATAAAAAAAAAAAGAAAAAGCAAAACTTTAAAGGTGACATGATACTTTTGTAATGTAAGCCCTCAGCTACTTATATTTTTAACCACTTTGTTCCATAGTATGATAGCAATGTCAAAATAACACTCATCCTTTACTTTATAAATCTAAAAGTCTTTGGGCTGGTCCTTTCTTCAGGGATTGTCACAGCGAACTAATTCGCACGAAGACTTGACGATTGTTTTTATGCCGGATGCCCCTCCTGATGCAACCACAGACCACTATCACAGCCCTCTGTGTGGAGTAGAGCTGCTATCTAGGGTGCCTGGGGGAGCAGATGGTGGGGGTTAAGGGCCTTGCTCAAGGGCTCAGAGTGGGACAACTAAGGGTGGAGGCAGGTGTGGGTGTTTCACCTTTCCCACGCACATTTTGATGTTGTTGGTCCAGGGGAATTTAACCGATGACCTTCTGATCACAGACCCACCTTCTCTAACCTCTACGCAACCACTCCCTATAAATCTAACAACGTGAACAATAAAGTCCATGCTCAATTCTAACAAAGTGAAGTTAAAAATACATTAAAACCCTTAAAATATCCTGAACTACATGCATTATTTAAGCCATCACAAGCTTTTCAGGCAGATGGTAACACTTCAAACAATGATTAAATTTGAAGAAGGCTTTACAGTAATAAAAATAGATACCACTCAACCGATGTTTAAATAAAAAATAAATTGTTTAAATGTTTTTACAGTTATTATTATCATTTAAAAAACTTAACAGTACTAAACACAAAGTTTTGTATGAAAATATCAGTCAAAGAAAAACTCAAGGACCAAACACATGCCACAAAACGGATAAGATTACTTCAAATCGACGTTCAGCACTGAAATATTCACAGAACTTAACCAGTTTTGATGCCCCACAGTACAGCAGATTTCAGACCCATAATCAGACCTCACATGGAGGCAGGACCTCACCTTCTCCAAACATTCCTGACCTTTTCCTCAAACACACTTTCTCTATACTCAGACAAAAAAAAAAAAAAAAAAAACCAAAAAAACGCCTTCAGGCACGTAATCAGCACTCTTCCTTCTTTCCTGCGCGTTGGTTATTATTCAAACCAGATGACAGATCGAATGATCCAATCAGAACTTGCAGTAAAAATCCAGGAGGCCTCCTGATTGGTGGGCTCTGCCTCCAGCTTTAGGATCAAAGGTTAATCTCTTCAAAGTGCAGAAGGAAAGAGGACAGGCTAATCAAGGAGAATCAGGGAGCTGTTCCACAGCAAACATCTTGCAGACTGAAAGTAGAAAGTGTGTGTTCATACCTGAATGGTTGCTCCGTGGGAGAACGGTGAGCGTGTCGGTGCAAGGCTCCATGGGAAATGTGGTCTAGGAGTAGAGGACCTGAAAAACAAACCGTAATGTTTAATTCAAACATCACTTTAGAGCAACCTTTCTATCATTGTGATGATTTTTTGGTGTGGTTTGTTTCAAACTGTTAAAGTCCCAATCCAGTTCACTATACATTGGTGCTAAGTCCCACACACATAGTATCAGTATAAAGTAGTAATATACCAGTAATAGTCCCAATCTTTTGGGACCAGAAATTAAGTACTGGTAACCTATATTTTTGGTAAAAGCTTCCACTAATAAAATCCCTCTGAATATCTGATTTGAACTGATTCCAGATGCTGATGAACTATCAAAACTTCTTTAAAGGCCACTTTCAGAACTCCTGGGCTTGAATCTTTGTCATGATTAGCTTTTTTCCTGACATCAGAGTGGTTTCTTGTTTGTGAGAAGATAAGTGTTGCAGTGTGGCTAACAGCTGGAGGAACCTCCTCTTCACCTCCTCCTACACACAGAGGCCTTTTTACTGAACGGAGAGCTCATCAAAGGAGTCTTTATTTAGTGAAGGAGGCCGGCACCAGGACAGTGAGTTAATGTTCACACTAAGAAAGTAGAGTTCTGCTCCAGCTGCTGGTTCATAGAGTCCAAACAGGAAGCTGTTTTCTTAGGGAACAAAATTTCAAAATGTCGAGTAATGAGAGAAAAAGTGTGGACGAAGAAGATAAGGATACCGGTACGGGTTAGCAGCTGAACTTACAGATGTGGGTTTTTATTTTTATGATGCAACTTGTTTACGTTTTTACACAATGAGAGTGATTTTCCAACCACACGTACAAACTACTGATGTTAGGCAACCCTTTCTCGCTTATAAACTTTATTAAACAATCAAAAATATTTCACAAGAAACAAATTTACCAATAGAACCGTTTAAAATTCAGATCTAGTCTTCATGTCTGTTTAGTTTCCTTCCAAGGAACAAGACTTCGTTTTACCAAGACTGGTAATTAGTCTTGCTCAGTGGTTTCAGATCAATTCTATTTTCTGTCATACTGCTAACTTTTGTATGTTTTATAGATTTAATTAAAGACATGGGAACAAATCGTGCTTCTGTGACACTGCTGATAACCAAGAAATAAAGATCCTATTCAAACTTGTATTGTGTGTTGACAACTCTATTTTTTTCCTTAGGCAAGACTTTTTAACAGAGTTAAAAACATTTCATTGAAAATATTGAAATACAATGGTTGAAACAGAGTGGAAAAAGCATTTGAAGTTTAATAAGAAAACTGAAATTACCTCTTAAAATTTTGGAGAAACATTCAAACCCATTTAAAACTACATGAGTGTAGATGTGTCAAAGTAAAATATAAATAAATGAGGACCTGGTCAGGATTTTATCAGCTCATATTTTTCAGGTTAGTTAGAAGAGACGCCTATAATCTGCAAAACGTTTTCTTCAACACAAAAAAAAGGTCTGTTCAATTCTTCTGCCCCTGACAACAAATCACACTGACAAATATTAAGGTTAAATATTTATATAATAATAATCCAGAAAGAGACATGAAGCAAGTCAGATTTCTGAAGGATAAACTGGCAGACATTTGTTTTAAATATTGAAGCCGTCACCTCCACTGGATGAAGACCACACTACCCTACTGCCGCCTACTAACACCCTCAGCTGGAAAAGATCTCAATATCATGTGGAAAACTGAGTTTACCAGCAGCTTCAGACAGTGTGTGTGTGTGTGTGTGTGTGTGTGTGTGTGTGTGTGTGTGTGTG